TGAATGCCTGGGACCCCCAAACACCCATTTCTCCAACACCCTGGCTCCCCCCAAATTCTTGGATTCCCCCATAGTCACCCATCTCCCCAGTCCCCTGGCTTCCCCCAAATTCTTGGATTCCCCCATAGTCAGACATCTCCCCAGTCTCCTGGGTCTCCCCAAAGCCCTGGCTCCCCTCATAGCCCCCCATCTCCAGCCTCTTGGATCCCCCCAACCTCCTGGGTTCCCCCAGAATCCCACCTCCCCAATCCCTTGGGTCCCCCCAATCTCCTATGTCTCACCAGACACCCATCTCCTGCCTGTTCCCAACCTCTTTTGTCCCCCCAAACCTCCTGGGTCCCTCCAAACCCTTTGGCTTCCCCCATAGACACTTATCTCTGACCTCCTGGATCTCCCCAACCTCCTGGGCTCCCCCAAAATCCCACTTCCTCCATCTCCTGAGTTGGCTCCCGAGATGTCCTCACTCTTTTGGCCAACTGGGCAGTGCTGAAGAAGATGGGGCTGAAGGCCAACCAGACGATGCAGGTTGTGTACATGGTGAAGCCAATGGGTTTGACCTCATTGAAGGCCTCGAGGACCTTTGATGGTGTAGATGGTGCAGGTCAACGTGAGGAGAAGAGTGTAGGCCAAGCAGACCAAGGTGCCACCTTCACACCTGAGGAAACTTTGGGTGTCTTTGGGGTCAGGGGTTTGACCCCTCTTGTAGTCAATGAGGGACTAAGGAGAGAAAAGGAGGAGTCCAATGAAGGCAGCTAGCAGTTGGAGGCCGCTTGAGGTGAAGGTGAGGACAAGTTGGGAGATGGGGCTGATCAAACAGGGAAGGGTCACCAATCACTTGCCTGGGGGTGGCGGAGGACAAAGAAGAGAGGAGTTATGGGGTGCCCAGATTCCTTGGTTCCTTTTTGGACATGTGTCCAAGCCCCAGACACCTGGGTTCCTCTCTAGAGGTGGAGAAATCAGCCCATAGGCCTCCATCCCCTTGGTTTTCTTGAGCCCTGGATGCTTGGGTCCCCTTCCCAGATACCTGGGTCTTCCAGAATTCCATCCTATCTCCCTCCTGACCTTCAACCCAAAATCCTCACACATACTCCCCAACCTGGGCTCCTGGGTCCTCCAGAACTCTTGGTTTCCCCCATAACTCACCTTCCTTGAAGACAGATTAGATGTGGTTGGTCTTGAAGCATGGGGTGCATGGAACCCCATCCTATGTCCCTCAGTCTCACCTCATGGGTCCCTCCGTGGACTCCTGTCCCCCTCCTGGTCTCCTGGGTCTTCCAGAACTCCAGGTCCCTCCATGACCCACTCCAGTAGATCATGTTGGTCTTGGTGAGGGGTGAGGTATAGGGCAGGCTCATCTCCAAGCCCAAGAAGAGTTTGTTAGGGCAAAGATGCCCATGCTGGGCATCCAGGAGGAGAACACTTGCCCCCTGGACATCCCACCCTACGTGGACATCCCACGCCACCCATCAAGAGGATCCAGAGAGAGAATGTCCTACAAAGAACCCAGATGACCTTGGGAATCCACCAGGACACCATGGGGTCCCACCAGGAGATCATGGGGAGGCACTTGTGGGGACCCAGGCATCCAGAAGAGAACTCCCGCAGGGACATCTCACCACACCCACAGAGGACCCATGTTTCCAGGAAGGGCACCCAGCTGGCCATAGGGGGACCCACCAGGAGACCATGGAGGGGCATCCATGGGGACCCAGATGACCATGAGGAGCAGGAGACTGGCACCTATGGAGGGGGCACTCTATGGGGACTTGGGGGTCCTGGACCCCTGGGTCCCCCCTGTCCTGCTTACCTGGGTTGGCTGCTCCTGGATGCCTGGGTCTCCAAAGAGTCATCAGCAAAGGCAGGGTGGAGGTTGTCCCCCCCAGACACCTGGGTCCCATCCACCAAGCTTGACCAAACTCCCATGATCCTTTCCCCACCTCAGTTAAAAGGAGCTGCTAATTACCGGGGTGAGGGGGTGGGGGGAGCGACACTTCCTGGAAGTTCTGCCATGTGTAGAGGGGACCTAATCCCCACCATGGGGCTGACAGGACACTGGGGAGGGCTATGGGGACATTTAGGAGGGCTGAGGGAACCCAGAGGGGATTTATGGGGACACAGAGGGGTTGAAGGGGACATGGGGGTGCTGAAGGGATATTGGCAGGGTCTAAGTGGACATATGGGGCTCAAAGTATATTTGGGGGGTGTATGGGGGAGCTGAGGGGACCCAGTAGGGACTGAGGTGACATTTGGGGGTCTGAAGAGGGATTGGGGCTGAGGGGACATTGGGGAGGCTTGGGGTGACTGAGGGAACCCAGAGTGAGTTTAAAGGGACATTGGTGG